GAAATAATAATGGGTTCCAACACAGGAGTGGGTGGATTTTGAATTCCCCCAGAAGTCGAAATTTGTGAAATTCGAATATTGTTATAGTGACTGCATTAAGCTTTCAAAACAATCTGATAGCACTACGTTGGAAACAAACTGAATAAATATACTTGTACAATGGAGCTTTTATTTAGTATCTGTATATATTTGAAGAAGAAATATGTGGTAGACACCATTAAAAATAATAACTGATGCCTAGTTGTTGTTGTCAAGTGCAAGTGGATTTGAATAATTATTCATTCATTAAAGAAAAATGTAAATGTTAAACAATTTTTATAGTAAATCATTATTATAACAAGAATATATGTAAATAAATTAATAAAATGAAAAACGATTAACTAGGATCTTTAATGGCAGATAAAAATATCTTTTCACGTAGGATACTCACAGAAACAACATAATTTAAATAAAAATATTTAAAAGGCGAATTATACGCCATGCTTAAAATATTGGAACCACGCTTCAAAAAAATATTAATGCAAATGCAAGGTCAATAAACAGACTTAGCGTGTCACTTGCTATGTACTAAAATGGCAATTGTTTGTATCCACCCTTTAGAATTTTGTACACCACACTTAAAATTTTGAGGACATTTTCTGAAATTTCACCATTCTTTAAAAATCCTGGTGAAAGTGTTGCCATAGGGAACATAAGACAATGAAGAGCGTGAAAACAGTTCCATAATTAAAATACTGACTCTAAAGACAAAATTTGACAATGTTAAGGAGAACCTCAGACGACAAAAGAATTTCCCTTAAAATATGTTTTAAATGTAGTAGTAGTATCCGACGACAAGCAATCAAGAAAAAAACTAAACTGGAACAACACGAAATGTTTAGTGTATCATACAAACGTTTAAATACTTGCCTCTAACCCAAGGGCGTCGATCCGTGGCTGAAAGTGGGAGACGAGATGAAAAATTAAGCCTTGGGCCGTAGGCCCAAAGTAATGGTTGGGGACCAGGGGGTGAAGCCCCGGAAGCTCTGGCGCATATATCCTTTTAATTGATCTTAAGCAATGCAATTAACATTTATTTCCATACGAAATTTTAAAAATATCAAGTGGCGGATCCAGTAATTTGAAATAGAGCTGGGCCCAGAGAGGGACTTTTACAGATGGAGAGTGTAGCTGGAATACCACCTCGGCCCCACCATGGTTGGGGCTGAGGTAAGAAAATTTATGATTATGACACCTCTAGATTGCTGGAAATGACCCTCTCAGACCTAAATTCTAATTCTAATTTTCCTTTGTTTTTTTTCCATTTAAAAAATATAATTTTGAAAAAATTAGGGCCGGCTCGGCCCCACTTGAATCTGCCACTGATTATTATGGCGTCATTGCGAGACTGCGTCAACGTAATACTGGAGTTTGTAAAATTTTGGTAGGCTTAAGCCCTATCACTTAATCGAAATAGGTAGACATCATATCCGTGAAATAAGAAAAACAGTAATCCTATGTGTGTAGATAATATTAAACACTAGTATATACGTACGGGTCATAATAATATACAAAAAGAATAAATCGTTTATATTAGAAATTGTGCACTTTTGAGTTTGTAAAAATATTGGCCTAATAAGGATACATGCTTCAAATTTCAACAACGTTCAGTACATTGTTTTCACAATAAATTTAGCCTCTGATAGTCATTGCACCCATAAAATCGATCTAGTCGGTTTCTGAGATGGTTACAAAATGTTTAAACAATTGCGTTTTTACTTGGTTTTGGTCCGGAAAATACGTACCGCACTTAGAAAAGTGAACAGACAAAATTCACGAGTCATGCGTAATTGTTATTCTTTCCATTCGCTTGTAAAAGTGGGGTTTTAATTATAGGAGATTGGTGAAATGTGGGGGGGGGGACAATCGATATCATGTCCCCCCCCCCACTTTGAAAAGTGGGGGGACGCATCCCCCTGTCGCCACTAATCGACGCCCATGCTCTGACCACAAGCAATCAAGACAAGACTAGACAGGAACGACTCACTCGACACGAAAATTTTAGTTTATTAGTTTATTTACAAACATTCAAATACCTCTGACCGCAAGCAATCAAGGAACTAGACAAGAACAAACCCGCGCGACACGAAAAGTTTAGTGTATTATACAAACGTTGAGACCGCTACACAAAGGCCTTTGCTTCAAGATTTGAGCATTAAGGCAAGGCAAAAGCAGCTTTCTTTGCTACGTTTTTTGTCCGCTGATCGGTTAAAAAACGTATTTCATTTTTATTTTATCACTGAAAAACAACTACTGTAAAATGTTTAGCCCATAAATATGATGTGTGTGAAAAGAAAACATTAAACAATATTTTAATTTGGACCTTCAAAAAGCAGTTAAAAAGAAGTGGCTATGAAATTTTAGGGGGGGGGGGCTAAAGCCTGTTTAGCCCCCCTCTAAATCCGCCCCTGATAAGACGACCCCCGAGTTTTTTAGAAGATTTTTGGTTGATATTTGTATGTCTGACGTATAAGACGACTCCGTGTTTCATGGGAATTCCTATTTTTTGTGGTCCTGATACTGCATCTAGCTGGATAAATGGAGCCAAATACAAGGGTAATCTTCCAAATAACACAATTTTATGAGTTTTTAAATCTTCACCACCAAATTCCCGTATTTAAAATTGTTTTTTTTCTCTTTTGTGGGGTCGTCCCACTTTTATTCATAAGTTCAGCATACACAGTATAATTTGTAAAGAGTTGTTCAATATAGCTTCTTAAAATATCTTTAACAATTTTTTTTTTTTTTTTTTTTTCCCTGTTTATTTCAGGGAAATACTTATATAAGTATTTCCCTGTTTGTGTCAGGGAAATACTTATATAAGTATTTCCCTGTTTGTGTCTGCAGATATTATTCTCCTGAAGACGATTGAAGCATCTCAATCGAAACGTCGAGACTTTCTCAACAACAACAGTTCTTTTCAGAACTACTTACGTGGTGTACCACAAGCTTCAACGTATATTTTTGTTTTTAATTACTGTATTTCGCTTTGTGTTTTTATCGATGAGGGAGGGACTGTTTATATTTGGCTAGCAGGCCTAATAGTAAATATTGTATAAAAAGTGGTTTTAATTTTATAGTGACAAAATTGCATTGTTATTTGTATGCTGCTGAAATAGATGCGGCAAATTTTTTTTTTTAATTCCCGCATCAATATTTCCCAAATTTTGATGCGGGGTGATAATCTAATAAATTTTTCTATTTGCCCTTAGGCCTATAATTATTTAACATATTTATCAAGTAACACTTTCATCTAAACTACGAAAAAACAATGTCTCCTGCAAAGAAGGGCACACTTTCCTTCAAATACCACTATCAAAATTGTACCCTTGTAAATTTGGGTCATTTGGGGTCAAGTCTCATGCACATTTTGCTAGAGAGATGTTATAGGTGTGCAAAAATACAAATTCAATGTGTGTGACCATCCTTGGCGTGACGCATACATATTACTAAGTCTAGAGGAAAAACGATGATGTTGAGAGACATATATGTTAGTAAGTTAAGTTGTTGATTTTTAAATTAACATATTTTTCTTACAAAAATGTAGGCCTAGAACAAAGCGAAAATAAAGTAGGCTTGTGCAGTCGGTGTAGCACGAATTTTAGTTCCCAGCGAATTTTAGTATTTCCAGAGCCTATGGGTCACAAATTTGCAACACTTTCTTCCGGGGTAAACAATTATTAAATATGTCTATGTATTCATTAAAAAAATAAAGTAACGAAGTTTATACAATCGAGAATATGTACCTTATGTTCAACTTAACTTCACAGTTTAATTATCTAGCATAAACAATATGTAAAAAATATGTTAAAGCTAATTTACGTTGAAAAAATCACAAGTCACTTTACAGCGAGAAACAGCGAGCATGATGAGAAGGTTAGGTGAAACTTAATTTCCTTTACAGCGACAGTACCGTAATTAGGCTAACAGTAATAAGGCGGGAGCCACTTCTTGGGTATTACCCAAGATCTTGGGTATTACCCAAGATCTTGGGTATTTTGACTTGGTCTTGGGTTCTTGGGTATTCCGTTCAAATCCTTGGTTATTAAGAAAATTAAATATTTTTATCATAGAGGAATAATTGAGAAGTAAGTATATTTCAGTCCATTCAAGTAAGCAAAACTCAACGAAGTGCACATAACATTGTTAATTGACTGTTAAGAAAGGTTGTCCATAAAAATCAAAGATTTGGTGGCAGATGTCAAAAACTAATGGATTTCTCTCAAATTTTTACCATGAATAGATGCTTGGGTAAAAAGCATATCTATGACATTTGTTTAATTTTTCAGTCTTCGTGGTCATGGCAACGACCCATTATCTAAATTTTACCGTTTTTGTCAATTTTGGACATTTTCAGAAGTGAAAAAACACTGACTTTCAGACCTTATTTAAAAAAAAGAACATGTATATAGTTTTGTGATCATCTATGTACATAACCAGGTATTAACTTCCATTTATCGCAAAAGAAAATTGTGTAAAAAATTCTGTTTGGAAGGTAACGGAACGGGTGTTTACGTGACACAACGTTGAAGAAGTGCTCTGGAAAAGTTGCCTATAATCACACATAAATTGGAAGAAATGATCGTATCTTTATATATCAATATCGTTATTACATCAGTACGATTCACTATTATTGTCTGATTGTTAAGGAGCACCTTCATCTGCCTGTTCTAAGCATCATCTGAGCTAGCCCTACTGTCGGACCAACTTTACACCCCTCGCTCACATCGAATTAGGTTAAAGCCACTCAGACTGATTGACAGGAGCCATTTGTAGGCCTATTGATCTTACCTGTCACCTTGATCTTGCTCGTCACGCTTGGTTGACTTTGCATACAATCATCTGTCAGTTCGCTGTCAAGGAAGAGTTCTTTTCATATGCAAATTACCAATCTTGAATTTCTGATTGACAGTTCGCTCTCATGTAGTCCCACATCTTCAGATGTTTTTTTTTTATTACAGTCACCATGGCTACTGTCAAATCTGGCGACTTCGAAGTTTTAACGCAATAAGGGTCGGATCGATTTTATCGTTTCATCATTTGCTTTAAAATATTAACTGTGGTTTCTTCATTTTTATTCTCAACTGTTGGATCCATTTAATTGGGATATCTCGCCTAGGATTGCAGAACATATTCAAAATGGAGTTTTACGGACGAAAATGTTTGTCTTGGATTACAGATGCCATAAACTGCTTCTACCTAGTTCATGCAGATGCTATTTTGATTTCAATGTATCTTACTATCACTCAAATAAATTCTGTAAGTCACGTGTGCAATATTATTCATCATCAACCGCCACTTTTTATCCAGTGCTACTTTCGGGAGACGTGCAACCCAACCCAGGACCTCTAACTAACATTAACAATAACTCATCAAGGAAAAATAATTATGGTGACAGTAAGCGAAACATATCTTGCATACTTTCAAACTGCCGTTGCATTCGCAACAAATCACTTGATCTTGCCATATTCTGCACATCTAAACCATCTGGATTAGACATTATCTGCGTTACCGAAACGTGGATGCGGAGTTCTAATGATACTGCAATGCTTCATTTTGCCAATCAGTATGACATTTTCCGAAGAGATAGGAATCATCAAAATTTGGGTGGTGGTATCTTGATTGGAATCAAATCAAACCATACCTTACACCAAAATTAATTGACGTTGACCCCAGAATCGAAATGATGTGGATATCAATATGCCAAGGTCACCTGTCGTGGCTCTTAGGGTTGGTCTATAGGCCACCAGACTCTGCAGTTTCCTATTGGACAGCCTTTGAAGAATCATTTGCCAGACTTGAGGCTGAATTTATCAATTATGATGGCGTCATCATATTAGGGGACTTCAATACGCATTGGCTTACTGCCCCACATCATCTAACTGATATTATGGCATCATTTAACTTGATCAGCTGGTTCAAGTTCCCACAAGACCTCAATCAAATACCAACGATGGATCTGTTATAGACCTTGTGTTCTCCAACAATTCTGAAAAGCTTATCAATTTGTGTGTTGTTGAAAACCCAGTGGAAAGTGACCACCTAGCTGTTGAGTTTGAGATTAATGTTCGCCATTCCTTGCCAGCGAAATCTACCATGCGCTCGTTCTTGAAATACAGCAAAGTTGACTTTGATCATTTGAATCAACTTTTATATCTTTTTTTTCTCTTTCGTAGGAGTTTAACCCACTTTTATTTCTTTCTCTTTTTGTTACTTTTCTTTTTTTTCTGCTTCTAATACATATTTAAAAGAAAATGAACATACAAAATAAAAACAATTGCACTTAGGAGGGGTCAGTCCACAATTGCTGACTATCTTTCTTGTTTTTTTAACATCCTTCCACTTGTAATAATTTCTAAATATGTTTTACCAAGATATAATTAACATTGTTAACATCGTACATTAAAGAATTTCTTCAAGTCATTTTCATAAAAAAAAAACATATTTATATACATATACACTGCACATATACATAATATTATTTTCTTTTTAAATCCACCCTTTACCTTTCATTCTCCTTTATTTCTTTCTTATTTATAGCGAACGCTTCTTTAAACAATAAGAGAGACCAGTTTCGGGAGCTGTCAATAATGCTAGTACTAGAAAATATTAAACCTAATTTATTACTTACATTACAGACGACATTATCATTTTCAAGTATACCCTGTAATCCTAAAATAAATTGGAATGCCTCACAGTTTTTAACATGATCAAAAATAACACTATCAGATCGTGAAGAATGTT